CCGCTTGACCTGTGAGCGAACTTGGTCTCGCCAATTTGAAAAGTAATCCAAGATAACCTACTCACTCATTCATGGACCTGAGCACTTCTTGGGAAGCTGCCAATTGTGCAGCCACTCAAGAACTTTCCAGCGTTTTATGGAACCTGAAGGTCCATTGCCATGTTCACAAGAGCTCTCCCATTGTCCCTATCCTGAACCAGATCAATCCAAACCATACCATCCCATGCTATCTCTCTAAGATCCATTTTAATATTGTCCACCAACCTATGTCTTGGTCTTCTCAGTGGTCTCCTTCCGGCTTTCTCACCAATATCCTATATGCATTCCTCCTCTCCCCATTCGTGCTACCTATCCTACGCATCTCATCCTCCCTGACTTGATCATTCTAATTATATTTGGAGAAGAGTACAAGTTATGAAGCTCCTCATTATGCAGATTTCCCCACCCCTTTGGCCATTACTTACGGCGGCAAAACATAAAGTCGGATACTTTTTGGACAGCGGTGTATGTGCATGTTAATAAATATTTTATGACATTGCTAATTACACAAGAAATCTATCGCGCTCTTGCTGTTTATTTATTGAATACTTACACAAAAGTCATGTCAGTTTGCAAATAGTAAAGTCAGTTTCGTCTTCCGCTGATATCATGGAACTTAATGTCTAGTAACACTTGTCGTTTTGAGCCGTGTCCAACGGAATATAGAATTCACGTCAGAGCTGGAGTCCCCTCCTGCCTATCGGAGTGTACAGAATTGGAAATGCTGTTGTTATGACCCTTAGACTTCTTAATGGACTGTGATCATTAGAAGCCACATTTCCATGTGAACATCTGCTCCAACAGTTATGCCATTATCGTTGTTCTGGCCGATATCACAGCCACACAACTTGCCATCATCACAACCTGACCTCATATCTGCCACCCACTTGTCAATGCCATCATTATCGTAATGATAATTCAATTCAATTCAGTTCTTTATTATTAATGTGCCGAGTTAACAGCCGCTAGGCCAATTACAGACACAGCACAGCGCAGATGAATGAATTACATTATAGACAAACTTATTAAAAGTCAAATACAAATTACAGGTAAGTACTTTGAAGAAATAATAATGAATTAAAGTAAAAGTAAACAAACAAATAGCTGATAATTATGACAGTAATAATAATTTCATTATCATTCAACTAAATTTAATAATAATAATAATAATAATAATAATAATAATTCAGTTCTTTATTATTTATGTGCCCAGTCAACAGCCGCAAGGCCAATTACAGACAGAGCACAGTTTAAAATGAAAGTAATTACATTATAGACAAACACATTATAAGTCAAAGACAAATCATAGGCAAGTACTTGGGAAAACACAGTAATGAAGAAAAGTAAACAAATAAGCAAATAAATGATAATAATTCAATTCAATTCAATTCATGTTTATTTATGTGCAAACTTAACAGCACAGTGGCCAATTACAAAGTTAGCACGAGTACATAGATATACACAAATATTA